GAATATGGCCGCCAACCGTAAGTTCCTAATTTCCATACGGACTATCCGAGTCAGATAGATCGGAGAAAATTTGCCTATTCCAATCGATCCTATCTACCTGTATGGACCTTGTACTTGTAAACGCCAATATATCGGGCATAAGTTAGGCAGCCCGCAGTCTGATAGCTCCGAAGTATGTACCAAAGTTCAGTCATAAAGCCTGTGTTACACACGGCAATATTGGATCTAATATTGACATTTAGAGCTCTATCACGCGAGGACGACATGTGTCTAGTGCCAACCAGTAGGCGAAGTAATGAGGAAACTAGGGCGTAGCAGGCAGTTTGGTCAGGTGACTAAACTCGCACTGCCCTGGTTGCGAACCCGTGTTAAGCAACTCCTCTCCCCTCTGCCGCGAACTCTAACCATGATTCTGCCTTGTCCAAACAAATCTCCCACCACCCATCTTACTTCACACTCTATCCTGCTTCTCAGTTAACGCTCATTACACTATCCGTTTATTCGGCTCTCATGATGTCTGTTGTCCACTACGCTCTTTACGTTCGAGACAGTCCATACAGCAACACTTAATCATATAAACGAGTCAAGGCTGAATTTTAACGGTAGATTCCAAAATTTGATGACTTCATTGAATACTGCTTTCATTACAATGTCCAAAAAGGGGAAATTTCATAAGCTAATAAGGAGCAGTTAGGAAAATAGGCACTTGGGAACACTAATCATAAGTCAGGCATACAATGGAATGTAAAAGTAAAAGCATTCATTCATTCCAATTAAAATTGATGTCTGGAGTTCAATGTTATCTTAGAAGACTCGGGGGTATATTAAAACCTACATGATCGGACTATAGTTTACCATACAAATTACGATTAAATAATTGTTTTGAAACTTGCTTTCCAATCTCGAATGTTTGTGCCTGAGCTGAATGCCCAAACCTCTGCAGTCCGAAATAGTTTATGAAACCCCGTTTCTGCCATTCTGCGATGGCTCGATGGATAATGCTGTCATCCGCAACCACGTCCCTGTAAAGAAAGAATGAGCACTGGCAACTATGTAGGAGAAAGCGACAAATATTGCTGGGCTTTAAAATCGTATGAGATAAATGTTAGCAAACAACCCTACAGCACCAGCTGTGTCAAACTTAAGTTGTGTCACCAGCCCCTCAGTATGATGGTATT